TTCTTTTTTTTTATATAAAAATGCACCAGAAATAAGAAAAAAAGAAATTGATGTGATTACTATTCATCAAAACTATTGAAATTCATACACCAACATCAGTCTAGTGTCAATAGGAGCTATTCTTCTCAAAACATAAACAAACCATCAAATAACACATACAGTTAGTTACCGTTTTATTTAACTAGAGAAAGAAAGAAAAAAACATTATGGATTTTGACAAATGGAATTGTTTTCAAATTTGTTTCCAATAGTAACAATTAATGTTCATATTTTTTTAATATAAAAAAAGAAACGAAGACTTTTGTTATTGCATCATGGGTAATGGTAGCGTAACTGGTAAAAATAAAGAACAACAACAAGAGCAACAACAGCAAAAAAAAATAGTCCGTTCAAAAAGTACTCAATTGGGAGATTTATTTAATAGAAGAAAATCTGCAGCTAGTTTAGTTTTCTATGCATGTACAGATAAAGCTCAAGTGTAAGTAAATAATTAATAATATTTCATAAAAAATTAATATTTTTCTCTATAGAATTACAGAAATACTTGAAGAACGTGGTTGGTCTCGAACAAAAGATACTGATGTAACTAATTTTACTATAAAATGGTGTCTTGAACATCAAGTTAATTGGAATAAATTTCAAGAAGGAAAACAATTAATTAATAATATACCTGGTCAAATAACATTTGCTGATAAAGTTAATTTATGGTATACAATACGAGATTTTCTTGAGAGTAGAAAAACTATAACTGGAAATATTGTTCAAACATTTCTTCCTATGACATTTATTCTTGATGATGAAAATGATTTGAATGAATTCTTACGTATTTATAAAAGTAAGTAGAAAAACAAAAAAATCTTACTTTCTGTAGGATTAATTTCTAAGCCGTTTCTTCTTATAAGCTTATAATTTTATTTTTGTTTATTAGAACAAAATAGAATCTGGATATGTAAACCACGTTATAGTTATGCTGGTCAAGGAATTCATGTTTTCTCTGGAAATTCTAATATGGAATCAATATTGAAAGTACAATCGAATGCTGGTAAACGTACACAACATCAACCAAAATCACCCGGATACTTAACACAAGAGTAGTGTATGATGCTCATTTATTACTATTAAAATATTTTATTTTTAACTTAGATACATTTCTCGACCATTGCTTATTAAAGGTCGTAAATTTGATATGCGTGTACATTGGCTTGTGGCTTGGACAAAACCTTTAACTGTATTTTATAATCATAATGCATCAGTTGTGCGTTTATCACTGAATCTTTATCGAGAATTCGATTTCGATCGTGCAACACATCTAACTAATTTAGTAAATAAATTCTTGTGCGTAAATTCTATTACGTTTTTGATTTAGTCAGTACAAGAACATCATTATCGTTATGCAAGTTCACAAGAAGAAACTGGGATGACTATGCAACAATTAAAGTAAGAGGAACATCTTTATTATTTTAATAATGAAGATTTTGATTATTATTTAGTGCATATTTCAATAAATGTTTTCGACCATTTCATCCGCAATTATGTGAAGATTGGGTTATGACTGTTATGCAGGTAAAGAAATAAAATTGTACCATAAGAGATATATTTATTATTTGAAAATAAAATAATAATTTTATATATTTGTTGAATAGGAGCGTATGCATACAATTATAAGACAAGTTGTACGTGCAAGTAAACATAAATTAGAACGTATAGCAGGTCATTTTGGTTTATTTGGTTGTGATTTTTTACTTGATGAAAGTTTTCGTTTATGGCTTTTGGAAGTTAATGATAATCCTGGTGTTGGGTAAGTTTAATTCATATATTGGATGAATAGAAAAATAGTTTGTTTTTTATTTCATATGATATAATAAAAGTTGGGGCAATACACAAGTAAATACAACAACAAAACCTTTATTCGAAGAAACACTCAACATTGTATTTGAATGTTTTGATAATTACAAAAATAAACGTCCAGTATTACCAGTTGAATGTTTAAAAAATTATAAACTTATTTATAATGAAAATGATGATGCCGCAAGTATTCTTAATGATGATATTCAAGTATTTAATGAACGTGCAACTGTACGTCCTACAATAAAAGATTTACGACCACGTACACCTTTGACTAAAACGCTACCTCAAATAAATGCTAATCGATCATCGACAGCAGCAACATCAACAGATCTCATAGTTAATAGTGAAAATACTCCTCCATCAACTATTGAACCAATTTTAAGTAGAAGTATCGATTGGACGGCAATAAGAAGAGAAATGATAAGAAGAGAGGCAATGAAACCTGAAAGTGCTCAAGAACGTTTAATGAAACTAAGAGCTGTAAGAAAAAAATATACATTTCAATCACAAATTCGTTCAAGAGATAAACTAAATCAATTAACTTTTAAACGATCACCTACATCAATCAATACATACAGAAGTATGCAACAAAAACGAAGTATTGATTTAAAACCAATTGTTACAGATAAAAAACGTAGTAAACAACAGGATTCTCTCACATCATCTTGCTCAGAAATTGCTGATAAAGAAAATACAATGATTGTCAAAGAAGCTGAATAAAAACCGCAGAAAATTAATTAATGATATAATCAATAAATATTGAAGAAAATTTAAATAGAGATTGATTAGCTGTTCAAACATTTCATTTATATATTTTTTTATTTTAATAAATTTTTTAAAATGAAATTTTAAATATTGTTTCATGAGTGAGAAATATAAATGAATATTTTCAAGATTCTAACTGAAGAAGAAACTAAATCATATAATCAAGGTTACAATTGAAATCAAAGAATCATTAAAAGTGAAAGATACGATATAATTATCTGTAAAAAGAAACCATGAAGACCTTCATGCATCTGATATGAACAAACAACAATGCAACTATTGTATTACATTCTGATTGAAAATATGAATATTAATAATATAATTAGAAATCTTCGAAAAAGAGTATCTTGACCTATTGTGCGATGTCACATCGGAAATATTTTTTCCTTCATTTTCTTAATATCTGATCAATTTAGTGGAACATGAGATATACATTAATAACTATAATCAGTTTAATATGATCATTATAGTTTCTTTAAGTATAATATGAAGAAAAAAACTATCATTAAACTTACCTATTTTGAATCAGTCTCATGATCATTCGAGATTTTATATTTTATTAAAACAATTATCTATATAGCTATTCTCGTTTATTTAATATTTCTCATTTCCTAGATTGTGCGCATATAGCTCAGAGTTCTATTTACAAAAAAAAGAAAATCTTCATGAAACGGTTAGTGACATATGTATATGTCTTGATTTTTTTTCAATCACACATGTCATAAAGTAAAAAAAAACGTACAATAACAACAACAACAACAACAAGAAATATTTTTCTAATGTAGTTTATTTGTTTTTTGTTTAGGCCATAGCATCATCATCTTCTTCAGTTTCTTCAATACCGGATATGTAAAGAATATTATTACATCGAATAAGAATTTCACCTAATGGACCTTTATTTTGTTCATCAATAAATTCAATAGCATGACCTAATTGTACATTCATATATTGATCAACACTAACAAGAACACCTATAATTAAATAACAAAAAAAAATAAATATTATTTTATTGTAGAATTTACATACCGGTATATGTCATTCCCCATTTAAGACGAACAAGAATCTTTTTTCCAACTAATTCATTAATATATGGTCTTGGATTAAGTGGTGTTTTCATTTGTGTAGTAGACATCTTAAAGTTTTGAAAACAAAGATATCTGAAAGATAATTAAACGATGTTATTTTGTAAGATAAAAGTAAATATTATCAATAATTTTTTTTTCTTTTTATTTAGTCTTTTGTTTTTCTTTTCTTTTTAAACGATGTTACAAAAAAAAAGACACAGTTGATGTTTCAATACAAAACAACGACTTCGGTACCATTGTAAGCTTATTCTTCTTCTTCACGTTTTGTGAACATATATGTTACGGCACATTTACCACAATAATTACGATCATGATGTGCAGCCATGAATACACCAGCACCACATTGTTTTGATTGACATTCACGTCTTAAACGACGGATTTTACCAGTATCTTCAACCTACAAAAACAAAAACAAAAAATTAATATTTATTTTCAATATATGTATTTCTTTTCTTACTTTGTAATATTTAAGTACAGCCAATTTAACTTTCTTGTGTTTATGTTTATTTTTCTTTGGTGTATTGTAAGATTTCTTCTTACGTTTTTTACCACCACCTTCAAGATCAAGTAATACATAGAGTGTACTTTCTTCTTCAACACGGCATTCATTAAGTGTTAATTCATCATCTAATGAAATTCCACCTAATGTTAAACGTTGTTCTTCACTTGGAATGCCTAAAAATTTATTAATAAATAAATTGTTAAATAATAATAATATAGAATTAAATTAATTTACCTTCACGTTGTTCAACAATTTCTTTGATTTCATTGATCGTATCTTCTGGTTGAACATTGAGTGTTAATGTTCGATCATCGAGAGTACGCACAAAGATCTGCATAACTCCTTGAGTTCTTCTTTATCTAGAATTAAAATATAGCTATTAGTAAAAAAGAAATCAGATTCTCTAGTCATAAAAAATATTGATGAGTTAAAAAAAATATTGATAAAATTAGATCATAAAATAGATTAGATTTAGTCTTGTTTGATAGCTGACTGTTTTTGTCGATAATTTGCATCCAATTGACAAACAAAGTCAATAACACCATTAGCATATACTTCCAACACCAAATGGAATATACAAACTAATATAACATATAGTTTTATTTTGATGAAAGCAATGAGACAATATGACCAAAATAAAATAAATATAATCCATAAAAACAATGCTAAACGACGTCGAAATCTGACATTAGATTCAACTTGTTCATTATTAAATCTTTTCGATGGTGTATCGAATTGATTTTTAATATAAAACCTAATAAAAAATATTTTAATTATAAAATAAGAATAGTGTTGTTATTTTTTTTATCTTTACTCTTTTAATTGATTTTCTTTGTCATCCCAACATTTTTGTAACCATTGAGCAATTTTTTCATCTTCTTGTGGTAAATCATTTATATTATAACGTTTAATATGAAAATGAACTACTTTTGGAAAATAACCTTTTAATAAATCAATTTCTGTTATTGGAAATTTGCCTTCATAACCAATTGTTACATCATCTACAGTATCAATCATATCGTCTAATAATAAGAAAAAAAAATTAATTAGATAATCTTCTAGTTATTTTACTTGATCGCATTGTATTAAGTAAATATGTAAATCCTGTAACACGTGGATGAAGACAATAATCATATGGTTTATTATAAGTTGTTTGTTTTAATGCATAATTATTACTTCTTATTTTTGTTTCGTTTGTTAAATTTGTGCCTTCCGGAAATATTAATAACTATATATAGAAAATAATCTTCTTGATAATTTCTTTTTTTAACAAAAAAAAACTAATTAATAGAAGTCTTGATTAAAACTAACATGCAAAGCAGATAAACTATCACGATCTAGAGTATATACGATATTTTATTCAATTGAAAAAAATAAAGAATATTCTAAATCAATGAAAATTTCTATTTATTCTGCATATTATTCTCAAGAATGTTCAATATGTTGTGTGAAGAATGAAAATTAAATCGAATAGATATTAAAAAATTGTAATACATATTTCTTTCTAAAATCTA